CCCCAAAACCCCAAAACCCCAAAACCCCAAAACCCCAATTTTGGAAATCTTTGATACAAATATTGCCTACCATCCAAACATGGAAGAGAAATCAGGCCTTTGGGCTAAGTTTAGTCTGACTAATATGGGAATACTTGGTCTCACAGTCTTTGGAGTCACAAGAGGTAAGCCTACAGCTTACTTAGACTAGCATCAAGACTTATGTTCAAGAAGATTGATATATACAAACAAAAGGGGTTGGCCAAGGAAGTTAGTACGTATCTCTCCTTTTGGATTTTGCCCCTCCACAACTCTAATTTTATAGTTATATCAAAAGGATTCGCCAGCTGGAACCTCCCACAGGTATTTAGTTGGCTAATTTTGGTGATTTTAGGCTCAAAGTAAGATATTTAGTGATTTTTAAGAAGCAAATCAGCCAAAAGTTCTCAAATTTTTGGTCCAGGAAGGACAAAAATATCGTATGGATTATTTCTCATGTCCTATGATTGTCAATAAAGAGCAGTTAGAAGAGGTAAGAACCTTGAATGTTCCAGTATGAACCTTGCTGACATTGTTTAAACTACTAATATCCATTTTGTATATCACTTCTGTGTTTCTGAGGAATATTTCCCATAATTTTCCTTTCATAGGTGGTTGGTGATCAATGAACCTCAGTTCTGGGCACTGTTAGTGGGGTTTATCATGTCCAGAAGCCTCTACTTATACCTCAAAGATGGCACAAAGATACTGAGGGTAAAATTTTTCTGTAATTTTAGGTGAATTGGAGCTATTTAACTTAGATGATGTGTTCCCAGAGACACATGCCCATACGAATATAGTCACAAAGTCTCTACGGGGGTAAGTCTTTGAAAGCCAAATATCTCTTAAACTCATTTCGTTTCTTTAGATTATTCGATTCATTTGTGAGAAGCCAGAGGCTGCGTGGGCCTGTTTCCTTCACTGTGTATCAAAATGTTTTTGAAGCCTACAAGGTTATTTACATAACTGCTCAGTAAAGCAAATGGACTCAGAGGGTCCATCCAGAACTGTGTACAGGTTTAGACACTAGCAGCTGCTTCTGGCCTCAAATTCAGATTATTTCAATAAGAGTTAGAGATTTAGGGGTTTTGGGGTTTTGGGGTTTTGGGGTTTTGGGG